AATGAATGGATGAGGCTGCTCATTCATTCATTTACTCAGTTTTGCTCCTAAAATGAGCAGAGCACTGAACAGTGAATAGGATTTGCCTCCACAGAGTCAGAACTGGATCAATCAGTAGATAACATTGAGCATTTGCACGTAACAACAACAACAACAAACATTGAGCATGAACTTGGGCCATGAAGAAAACACGGTGGCACTGAAAAAGCATGTTTTTTTTTTTTTTTTTTAAAGAACTAGATAAAACCAACCAACCCAAACCCACTGCCATCGAGTCAATTCCGACTCATAGTGACTCCTTTCGGGTTTCCGAGGGGGTAAATCTTTACGGAAGTAGATTGCCCAGTCTTGCTTCCACGGAGTGGCTGGTGGATTTGAACCAGCAACCTTCTGGTTAGCAGTCAGATGCCTTAGGTACTGTGTTATCAGAGCTCCGTAGAACTTGATAAATATATATTTAAAGCAACAAACCAGCCATTATGGGAAAGAAGCTAATTTGGTTGACTTCCATGGGATTATTTTACAACTAAGTATTATGTTTATTTTTATTTCTCAGTGGGGGAGGACAACCAGTTCCTTTTCACTGTTTGGGGTTTCTAAAGGTCCGCATCCAACCCTGGGTGGTGTGGTATATGTGAGTGCGGGTGGACAGGCATCACAGTAGAGGACATGAGACTTAGAAAGCAAAGGCCCCATCATAGCTAGGATGCAGCGTGTCTTAGGGGATCTACTGAGAACAAGTTTGGAGAGGTGGAGGCTGATAACGTAGCTTTTAAGAGCTAGGCAGAGGAGTCTAGCCTTCATAAGGCAGGGAATTGGGAGCCATTGATGGTTCTGGAGCAGACCTCTGGCAATAAACAATAATAAATAACAGCACATTAGTTAATGTGGTAGCCACACTCAGGATGGTTTGTGGAGGGCTCACTGGAGACTTGTTACATTGTTTGAAACTTTTCAAGAGCGCCAGCATCTCCTGGAGGGTGTGTAAAAATGCAGACCGCTGGGCCTCACTCCCAGGGGTTCTGATGCAGTAAAGGGGTCTGGGGCATGGCCTGGGAATCTGCATTGTAACAAGCTCCCAAGTGATGCTGGTGGTGTCAGCCCAGGGTCCCACTTTCAGAATCACTGCACTAATCCAAGAATGAAGCTTAGATTTGGATCCAACTGCGGAAACAACAGAGAAAGGGAAAATATGGGTGCTATTTCAAAGGAAAGAACACTCAGGCTGTGGTGCTTGATTAGATATTCAGGCTAAACACAGCCAAGACTGTGAAATTTTCCAGCCTAAATTAATGTCAGATAGATGGGAGCTCTGGTGCTGTAGTGCCTAAGGCATCTGACTGCTAACCAAAAGGTTGGTGGTTCATACCCACTCAGCCATTCCTTGGAAGGAAGATTGGGCAATCCACTTCCATAGAGATACTGCCATGGAAACCCAAGGAGGGGTCGCTAGGAGTCGGAAAATGACTCGACGGCAGTGAGTTGTGTTTTTTTAGGGGGCTAGATAAGAGAGAAGTTGGAGAGGGGAGTTAGCTTAGGAGCAGAGTGAGGGAAGGGTGGGTCAGAAGTTCTGTTTTGAACATACGAATGACAGTGATGTTGCCCAATGGACAACATGAAGGGGAGGAACTAAGGCTCAGGAACAAATACAGGCCAGGAGTCAGAGACCTGAGAATGTTGT